CCCTCTGCCTCTGCCGGACTCTCCCCTGCACTCCCGGGGGCAGGTCCTGCTGTCCGCGCTCCGTCCTTCCCGCAGCCCCTGGCTACAGGCCTCCCTCTTCCCCACTGTCCACATATCCACTGAGCCAGGCCCAGACTCTGGCCCTCGGAAACCCCACTTGGCACTGATAAGCCACTGCTCGAGGTTCCACATTCTGTGCCCATGGGTGAGGCCCAATGGCAGATACTGGCAGGAAGGGGAAACCGTGCCTATGGAAAGTAAAACTAATTATAGCTGCCACAACAGGCATGGCTTCTCGGTTATGCCTTCTCGAGGAAGGGTGCCCAGGAATGATGGTGTGTGATTGTGCAAGCCAGTCCCCTGAGCAGGTTTATGCTGTCCTGCCCTGAGCTCGGGCAGGCCGACCTCAGCCTGCTCCAGGTCCCTTGGTGCTGAGAGCTCTGGGCCCAGTGTTTGGGCTTTGTATGCCGAGGCCTGGGCCATACCCGGACCCCACTTCTCCCTCACTGTGAGGCCTCGGCAAGCCTTGCCCTCCTCAACTCTTAGCACTCTCCAGGGACCCATGAGGTGCTAGGAGTTGGGATTCTGTACCAGTAAAAAGGAAATGCTGCCCCGCCCCCGAGGTGCAGAGCAGGTAGTGGGAGGAAGGTTCCGTGGTAGGGGTATTAGTCCCAGAGCCCAAGTGCGCCCCAGCACTGGGATGGATTCCCTGCCCTGGTCTCAGGCTGCTGCTGCTGTAGCTTCCACACTTGGCTTTGTCTACAGCAGACTCCCAGCTAAGCAAGTAGAGAGAGCCTGGAGCATGAGATAGAGGTCTAACTGTCCCTTTGTCACTCACAAGTTCTGTGACCTTGGATAAGTTACTTCTGCTCTGTGAGCCTTTGTATAATCAGGCAGTTCCTATCTCAGAGAGTTTTTTCCAAGGGATGAATGCACAGTGCCAGGACGTGGTCAGGACCCATATCACTGGCACCTTTGCCTGTCATCTCCCCCACAAAGGGAACTCTTGTTACCCATAGTGACCCTGAGGACCACTGGCTTTGCTCTTCCCTGGATGTCTAGAGAGTGGGCCCTGGCCCAGAAGGTAGGATCCCGGCACCACCACTGGCCATGAAGCCTGAGGCCTGGCCTGCAAAGTGAGGCACAGGGTCAGCGCCCTCCAGGTGCTTGTGAGCACGGGCTGACAGGACGGGGGGGCTGAGGCAGAACTTGGACGGGGATGCCCTGACGCTCTGTCCTCCTATCCTCCCTCCTCAGGAACTGAACCCAACTGGCTGAGTGTTGACTACTTATGTGTTTCAGATTTCTCTTACACTCAGACACTTTTTTTTTAATCTGAGGAAAGTTCTAGTCACTGAAATGCTTAGGCCAAAGAGCTGTTCTACTTTCTTAGCTCTGGGACAAAGGTAGCCCTTGGTATAAACATCGGTGTGGTAGAAGGTAAAGTAGAAGGTCTCTCTTCCCCCATTGCCCTCCTCATGAAGATGGTTCTAAAAGGCAGCAGTCCCATTCTCCCTTTAGTAAAGAGGGTGTGGAAACTTCCAGAATGTTTCTCCCCTTTGAGGGTTTAGAGCACCTTATAGTCCCCACAAAAGCTGATCCAAGAGGATGATGTGGCACATGCAGGAAGTCAGGAAACCCTGCCTGCTCCCAGGACATGCTGTGGCGGCTCCCCGCTTTGATTTTCCATCACATCCTTCGGTTTTCCTTTGTTTCCCTCTGCCTCTGTCTCCTCACAGCCACATATACCACGCCACCACCCCTCCTCCTAACTGGGTAATGAAGGCCCACTGTCCAGCTGGATCTGGGCTTTCTGGTTGTCAGCTCTCAGTTCAGTACTAATGTTGCCCAAAAAGCTTGCGAAGGGTCGGGAGTAAATGTTGGGGCTACAGTAGGACTTCAGAAACTTGCCAGGGTGTGCTGTTCCATTCAGCGCGGGTCCCACTCGTGCCCTCATCCTCAGGCAGGGTGTCTGTGCAGGTGGCCGCCCCTTGCTGCCTTTCCCATCCACATACCCTACATTTGGGCCCGCAGGACTGCGGGAACTCCAGGTGATGACTCTGGGTTCGGGGTGACCTAGGAGCTGGCCTCAGACCTGGAGGGGTACCCTCGGTGCAGGGGGCCTTCTGCGGCTTGAGCAGAGAGAGCTGCCTCCCTGGCTTTCTCTGCCTGGGCTCCCTGGAGCTTACGGCTTAGGAGGCGTCCTCTGTGGGACAAAGGTTTGGTTACCACGTACAGGCCCTGGGGAGGCTACTGTGCCAGCGTTCACTGCAGCTCGGGTACAAAGGTAAGGCCACCAGTGATGGTCTGCATGAGGTGGCACGAGTTACTCAACTTCTCCATCTGTAAACTGGGCATAAGGAATACCCACCTCAGTAGAATAGAAAGTACAGAAAGAGTCCCAGAAAAACAGGAATTTAGGACACATCAGAGGTCATCTTAGATTGGTAGGGGAAAGATAGCTCATTCGAGAAATGGACAACTTGCCGCCTAGAAAAAAATTAACTGGATCCTAGCCCTTAAACCATAGATTAAAAAAAAAAAATTTCCAGATAGATAAAAGATTTAATTGTAAGAAAAGAAACTAAAATTATAGCAGGAGAATATGCAAGAATTGTTTTTAAAAATCTTGGCGAGGGGAGGTCTCTCTAAGCCTGACAGAACTGAGGGAAGCTCTACAAGGTACAGACCAGTCCATTTCTGTATGGAACAAAGCCAACAGGAAAGTCAAGAGAAATGACCTGGAAGAAACAATTGTCTAACTCTGTTGACAGATAAAAGGTGTTCATTTCCTTACTTTATAAAGAATTTCTCCATATGGAACACAGAAAAGATCAGCACCTGCATAAACACACAGTCTGGAAAGGGGTAATTCCTGGAAAAGGAGCTACGACGCTCCCCGCGCCTGTGGCCCTAGAATGTACCGACAGGAGCACCTGGCCGGATTCCGGCTCCAAGCTTACGTTTGAGGGCCCTCCTCCAGGTTATTCCTGTTGTCTGGGCCTCAGCTACCTGAGCTGTGAAGTAGGGGTAACTGTAGTCCCTTTTATTAAGCAGGTTAGCGAGTATCAAGCCTGTGGAATGGGGTGGGAATTGCTGTGTGAATACTTGACCCATAAAACCTGAAAAGATGGGGGAGGGGCCGTATGGGTGGGATGCTCTTCTGATAAGAAATATGGTGATAAGCCATTTTCCTGCCCTGTTGCTGACCCGTGGGAGGAATCTAGCTCTCATATCACTGATGGGAGAATAAGTATGTGTTAGACTCCTGAACGCACATACCCTCTGACTGAGCAGTCTTTCTTGAATAACCGTCCTAGAGATGACACACAGACGAGGGTATTCATGCAGTACTGTGTGCAGAGCTGAAATGGGAAATAGTCCTCCTTCAGTGAGAAACTGGTTAAATAATTTGTCATATGTCCGTAACCTGGATGATCAGGCAGCTTTGACGAAAAGAGGCGGGTCTACCTGTACAGATGGCGGGGCAGTCTCCTGGATACGGGCATGCCTCATTTTATTGCATTTCCCTTTTGCACTTGGAAGAAACTGTATTGTTTGCAAAGTGAAGGTCTCTGGTGACCCTGCATCGATCGGGTCTGTCAAGGCCATTTACCAGCACTGTTTGCTTATTTAATGTCTCTGTGTCATATTTTGGTGATTCTTGCAATAGTTCAACTTTTTTCATTATTACATACTTTTTTAAGATTTTATTTATTTGAAAGAGACTGAGAGTGAGCCCAGTGCGGGGCTTGATCCCAGGACCCCGGGATTATGACTGGAGCTGAAGGCAGATGCTTAACAACCGAGCCACCCAGGCACCCCTCATTATTATATTTTTTATGGTGATCTGAGATCAATGATTATAACTCATTGAAAGCTCAGATGGTGCATTTTTAGCAGTATTTTGTAATTAAGGTATGTATTTTTTTAAGACGTAATGCTATTGCACCCTTAACAGACTGCAGTATTGTGTACACATAACGTTGATAAGCCCTAAGAAAGCAAAAAATTCATTTGACTCATATTTTATAGCAATATACCCTTTATTGCTGTGGTCTGCAGCTGAACTCGGAATATCTCTGAGATATGTCTGTGTATTAAGTCCTAGGAATAGGTGTCAAACATGTGCAAAAATTCTGTTTGTGGGAACAGGAAGCTGGCTCAGGAGGGATAGCTGGGAAGGCAGTTAAGTTGCCTCTGGGGACACGCTGTGGCTGAAAGCAAGGGCAGAACCTCTGAGTTCTCGTGGATCATAGTCTGATAAAACTTACCTGGAGACACTCCTGTGAGGAATAAAACATCATAGAGGTTGGGGGGCAGGGAGCAGCCAGATCTGAGCACCACCGCCCGACGCGCGGCCTTGACACAGTCCTGACCGGTATACCTCTTTTTCCTCACCTATAAAACAGGGGTGAAGACAGTCCCCTGGTCGTGAGCGTGAAATGGGGTGGTCTGAGTCAAATCCCTGGGGCGCTGTCAGCAGGCCAGCCTGCAGGGGCGACAGCCCCCTGCCCCATCACATTCAGTGGTCCAGCTCTGGCGCTCCCCAGCTCCCGGGCCAGCCAGAAATCTTTTTCTGAAGTTTCTGCTTTGGGACTCCTCTCCCTGGGATGAGTCTAGTTCCTTGGCAGATCACCTAACGTGGCTGCTTTGGCGTTCAAGTCAGGAAAGCAGGTCTGTGAGGAGGCTTGGAGAGTCCAGTCCCCCTGTGCTTCATCTCCGAGGCTGTGGACCTGCCCCCCAGAGGAGCGGATGCACCTGGAGCTGGGCACCCTGCGTGCCCCGGCCCTGTCCGCTTGGAGCCCCCGTGCTGGCCAGCTCGCCTGGGAGCCGCTCAGGCAGGAGTGGGCTGTCTGGGCAGATTTGTCCGAGAGAGCCCAGGCTCTCTGTACCCCTCGATGCTTAGCGTAGAGAAGAAGAATTTGGTGAGGGGCCATGAGAGGCTTCCACCGGCCCCCAGCTCAGGAGGGTGCCACGTCACTCTCTCTTGCTTTCAGGGGTCTAACGTGATGGAAGAGCAAGACCTGCGGGAGATCGGCATCAGTGACCCACAGCACCGGCGGAAGCTGCTCCAGGCAGCGCGATCCCTGCCCAAGGTAACTAACCACTGATGGCTCTGCAGCCTCGGCTGAAGCCAGGGCCCTCTCCAGACCCCGCCTGGACCCAGAACAGGGAAGGAGCCTGGCTCCGGGGCATGTGGATCACTGCAAGGGGTCTGCCCCACATCCTGGGGGACCCAGCAGGCAGCACAGAGGTCTGTTTACTGTCCTGCCAGGTCCTGAGGCCCCAACAAGTCAGCAGAGACTAGGGACTGCTGAGGACCCAGTCTGGGCTCCAGAGGGAGGCCATAGGCCTCTGCCCAGCCCAGGAGCTGGTACCCACAGGCTTGACCTGTCGCCTGGGGAGCCAGGGGCTGGTATCCCCAGCCCCTCCACTTGACTCTGCTGGCCCTGGGAAGTCCTTGTACCCTTGTTTGTTCCACTCACCCCAGAGCTCAAGAAGCACAAACAAGTCCCAACAGTGAGGCCACTGCCCATTTCACAGGAACACACCATATTGTCCCACCAGGTCCATGATCTTGTCAGAGCTCAGTGGGAGCCCCTCTGTGAACCCTCCCTCCCATCTAGCAGTACCCACTGGGGCTGTCTTCCTCAGGCCTGGAGGGCTGCGGGGGCCCCACCTCACAGGTGGGGGTGCTGAGACCAGGCAGCAGCAGAAAGGGCTGTGTGAAGGGAGGGGAGCTTGGTCTCCTGGCTGTAGCCCCAGGAGGTCTGAGCTGTCAGTCCTGACCCTTCTCGCCCCACAGGTGAAAGCACTGGGCTGTGACGGCAGCAGTCCCCCATCAGTACCCTCCTGGCTAGACTCCCTGGGGCTGCAGGACTACGTGCATTCCTTCCTGTCCAGCGGCTACAGCTCTATTGACACTGTGAAGAACCTCTGGGAACTGGAGCTTGTCAACGTGAGTGCAGCCTGTGCTCAGGCCCAGCCTGGCCCCCAGGGTGCGGTCTGGGGCAGGTGGGGGGCTATGGGCACAGGCACAGCCTGATCACCCTCCCCCACCTCCGCCCCCATCCAGGTGCTGAAGGTCCATCTCCTCGGCCACCGCAAGCGCATCATCGCCTCCCTGGCAGACAGACCATACGAGGAGCCGCCTCAGAAGCCCCCTCGGTTTTCCCAGCTGAGAGTGAGTGGGGCAGGGATGGAAAGGGCTCAGTGTGTTCTTCGTGTTGCCGGGAATTAGAGACTGCTTGAGGCATTCTTTGGAAAAAGCATGACCTCCATAGGAGAGGTGGAAACGATCTGTCCCCTCTTGTCGTTGGGGCCAGTGTGCCCCCAGGGCCTGGAGAGTGCGAGCAGCACCGAGCAGGAATTGTTTGGGCCGGTTATGTATCGATTATGTGCCTCCTGCCTGCATCCGAGAAGCCCGGTGGCATCTCTGATAAAGATTCCAGTTTAAGTAGAAAGTAACATGTCAGGAAAAGGGAAAAAACATCCGAATCCCAGCCACTGCTTGCCGGGGGGCAGAGCCGGGTGGGCAGAGCCAGCGGGGCAGCGAGGGACAGTGGGGGGCAGCCTGCGGGGAACCCGGACATAGGGCAAAGCTGGAGCTCCGTGGCAGGACCTGCGCCCTCCCTAGGTCTTCTGAAGTAAAAGCCTCTCGGGGTGGGTTCCAGATGCTTTGTGGCTTGGCCTGCTGACCTCAGACTGCAGATTAGACCCCACCCAGTTGCGGAGCTGAGGCCTGGGACCAGCTCCGGCCCAAGCCTGCGAGCCGAGCCCCTGACGGGCGCGGGGCTCCAAGCAGGGCCCCCAGGCTCCACCTGCTTACGGCCACCTCACCCGGAGGGCATCACTCCGTCCTCTCACCCGGCAGCCCCTGTGACACTGAGGGGCCATGAAACGCTGACACTTGGCATAAAAATTGAGGCGATGGGATTTCGGGGTGCCGATGGGCAGCGCTGTGTATTTTTTCAAGAAAGGGCTCTGGATTTGGTCACGTGTCCAGGGAGCGGCAGTGAATCACGGCAAATGATGTGATCTTTGATGAACAGCAAAGCAGCTTCCCAGCCCTGTAACCTCCTCTTTCCCATATGGCTCCAGGCCGAGGAGTGTGCGAGGGACGTGGGGGTGCCCGTGGTGGCTGCGTGCGCGCAGGACTGGATCACCGGGGCTTCCTGGCTCGGGGAAGAATTTGGTGGCTTTGGCTCCGCGGCCGGGGTCTCCCCGCAGGCTTGTGGGTCAGTGTGCCGTCCGTTTGGTGCCTGCTCCATGTCCGTTCTCACTGATCCACCTGCCCCTGTTGGGCCCTGGGCAGCCCCAGGGCTGGCTGACACCCATAATCCAGGGGCTGGCCTCCTGGGTTCCAAGTGTTCCCTGGATTTCTCCCCACTGCAGTGCCAGGACTTGCTCTCCCAGACATCGTCCCCACTGAGCCAGAATGACTCCTGCACTGGCCGCTCTGCAGACTTGCTACTGCCTCCAGGGGACACGGGCAGGAGGCGGCACGACAGTCTTCATGACCCTGCGGCACCTTCTCGAGCCGAGCGCTTCCGAATCCAGGTGGGGCCAGGGGGGAGCTGTGAATGGGGGTCCCCAGACCCCTTCACTGCCCCTGTGTCCCTTGAGTTGGCAGCCGGCGTGGGGGAGAGGGGATAGGAGGCCACTGAACTGCAGGTGCCTGGATCACCAACAGGAGGAGGACCCTGCTTCCTCCCCTCCCTAGGAGGGCCTCCCCTGCATCTCAGCCTCTACATCCCAGCCCCTCAGGCCACCAGCGCCGTTTCTGTCCCACTCTCAGCTTGCTTGCCCTGCCTGTTCCACAGAGCGGCTTTCTCCCATCCTGGACTCCACTCCCCGCACCCCGCCTGCCCCACAGAACCAGGGCCCGAGTCAGACTCTGGTTCTTCCTGCTGCATTTCTGCAGCCCAGCGTGGGATGCAGCTAGGAGACCTATCCAGCCATGCTGTCTGCCTTCCTAAAGCCGCTCCCCTCCCCCCACGCAGCCTCTACTAGGCCCTGGGCTGGCCCCCAGCCTGCAGTCCTCGGTCACCTTCTCAGGGCCTTGCATTCTGGCCTCCTGATGTATTCGTCTGCCTGGCCTCCTGCCTTGCACATAGGTTCCCGGCTTTGCGTCTGGTCCTCCAAATTGGCCTACGGAACACAAGATCGACACATTTCCCTCACCGCCCCCCTGCCACCCCGGGAACTCTAATTTCACTGCTTTTTTTCTCCTGAGTTACACTCACCTCCAGCACCTGGGGGTGTCCTTCACCTCTCCATGGGCACAGCCGTGAATGTCATGATGCGAAAAGCATGTTGTCCAGCTGCTTTAGTTGCTCCGTAGCCGAAGACTTCCCGCACAGTGCTAGAAATGGAAGTCATAATTTCCTGACTCTTCTTGCCTCCCCATTCTTCCCAACTGGTGAAGGCCCCCATCACCTGGCCTAGAATTCAGTGGCCTCCTGCCCCCCTGCCCCCACCCAGCGGCAGCCTCAGGGAACAGTATAGAACGCTCCCTCCTGGAACACCTGCCCCACCCAGAACCAGCTCCAGGGCCCCAGACTTGGTATACAAGGCTTCTGCGGACCTAGGTTCTGCTCCCCATTCTTGGTGCTCTGTGCTTGTTTTCCCCTCTCTGGTCTTGGTCCTGTCCTGTCTACCTTAGCGCCTTCCCCACTGAGCCTGCCCTTAGGGGGTCTGGATTCCTGCCTCCCTGCCTTCCCTCTGGCGTGGGTGGGCCTCACCTCCGCCCCCAGTGCATCTGCTTGACTTTTTGTTTCCTGCCCTTGAACCCCTGTAGTGGGCTTCCTTGCCCTTGGGTGTGCTGGAGCCCTGAGTTCCTCTGAAATGGGCAGGCGCACCTGTGACCCCACGTGTTCTACAGGAAGAGCAGCGCGAAGCCAAACTGACCCTCCGGCCCCCCAGCCTGGCTGCCCCCTACGCCCCAGTGCAGAGCTGGCAACACCAGCCAGAGAAACTCATCTTCGAGTCCTGCGGTTATGAAGCCAACGTGAGTTGCCCCTGCCCTCCCAGCCTGGCTAGCCTCCCTGTCGCCCACCCCTCCCGGCCAGGTTCAGGCCTCAAGTGCTGTTCTCCACTCCTCGGACTCCCCCAACACCTAGGGGGCAGGAGGGCCTCCCAGCCAGGGTCGGGGAAGGGAGTTAGGAGAGGAAACCACCTGACTATGGTCCCAATTGGTTGGGTCCCCCCACCTGGTAAGGCAGGACGTCCTAAGCCCAGTTACTGCCTATACCCTCAGTATCTGGGCTCCATGTTGATCAAAGATCTTCGAGGGACGGAATCCACACAGGATGCCTGTGCAAAGATGCGGGTAGGTTGTCTGGGTGTGTGCTGGCGTGTGGGCATTTGGTGGGGATGGGAGGCATCAACGGGGCGCCTGCTGCAGCCCATGGGCCCTCCCACACTATGTAAGGTCAGGGGGAGGCTGGGGCCTGTGGGATCCGAGGGGCTTGGCCTTAAGAAGGGGCATTCACAGGCCCACTCCATGTTTCCTCTAGAAATCCACCGAGCACATGAAGAAGATCCCCACTATCATCCTGTCCATCACATACAAAGGTGTCAAGTTCATCGATGCCTCCAACAAGGTGTGCTTCTCACAGCACTGTTAGCGGGAGGGGACCCTCTCCCCACTGCCTCCTCTAGGCTCCTAAAGTGTCTGCAGCCCTCTCTGTTCCTCTGCGCTCCTACCCCCTCGGCCAGGCGCTTGGCTCTCAGTCGCCAAACATCCTGATCCCGGGGCCCTACCCTAGTGACAGGCGCCCCTGGTCTCTTTGAGCATGGGTTCCATCAGCCCTCTTACCTGTTCTCGGGCCCTTGGTGGTGTGATTCTCTTCACGAGCAAAGGACTCCCCCCATGCCCCACCCTTGGTACCTCACCTGCCTTGTCCCCACCCTAGAGGGCGGAGGGGCTGGAGAGCTGGTGGTCAGATGTGAACATGTGGCGCCCTCTGTTGCCATGGTTAAGGGCAGAGAGCCCTAAACCTATTCTGGCAAGGCTAGACACTGCCCCTGTGCCCACCGAACAAGAGAAGCAGTGGCCTTGGGCTAACAGCCCAGACTGGGAAAAGGTGGCAGTGGTGGTGGCAGTGTAAATGGGCTGAGGTGGGCCTTGGGGCCGAGAATTCCAGACCCTGCTTTCCCCAGCAGAATGTCATTGCGGAGCATGAGATTCGGAACATTTCCTGTGCAGCCCAGGACCCAGAGGACCTCTGCACCTTTGCCTACATCACCAAGGACCTGCAGACCAGCCACCACTATTGCCATGTGTTCAGCACGGTGGATGTGGTGGGTGGAGCCCTGCAGCTGGGCACTGAGGGAGGGGACCTGCCATCCCAGCACGTGGGTGGCACCTGGCTCATGTCTGGTTTGGGCCAAGGCCCCAGCAACTGTCTGGGCCAGTTCCCTTTATTTATTTTTTATTTTTTAAATTATTTTATTTATTTGAGAGAGAGTGTGAATGAGAGAGAATGCACAAGCTGGGGGGAGGGGCAGAGGGAGAGGGAGAGAAGCAGACTCCCCACTGAGCAGAGAGCCCGTTGTGGGGCTCGATCCCAGGACCCTGGGATCATGACCTGAGCCAAAGGCAGACCTTTAACTAACTGGCCCTCCAGGTGCCTCTGGGCCAGTCCCCTGGGCCAGTCCCGTACAGATGAGACTGAAGCACAGAGGAGAACAGGCAGCTAACTAGGCGGCTCCTCTGTGGTTCTGGTCAGGGGTTCCCTCCCCCAGGCTGCTTGTCAACCCACCATGCCCCCGTGGGACCCTCAAAGGACAGTCTCCCTGAAATGCCCTCTACCTTCCTTGGGGGCAGCAGTGCCTTCCTGACAGGAGGCTGCTTTCTCCCACACTCACGCTCCGGCTGGGCCCACAGGGACTGCCCCTACCCTGAGACAAGGCCCCAGGCCCTCTCCTCAGCCCCAGGCTTCTATCCAGATCCCTGCTGTCCTGGGGGACAGTAGCTTGTTGCCAAATCCCTGTGGCTTCTGGGGCACAGACGGCCAGGCATTCTCAGCCCCAGGAAATCCATGCTTACTCCGGGCCTGGCGTCAGACTCCTGGCTCTGACACTTGCTGGCTCTGTGGTTTTAGAAAGTCATTGTCCCCGGCCCCGTGGCTGAAAAGCGGCTATAACAAGAGCAGCTTCGTGGGGTTGGTTTTAAAGGTGAATGGGGTCATCTGCCCTATACTCGTAGCTCCTGGCACTGTGAGCTAGAGCTCCCACTTTCCACAGTCACTTCTGCTGTAACACAACATATGTGCTCCCAAAGAGGAACATGTTACATAAAATCACGTAGTAAAAGCCAGGTTTATGGGGAGATGGGGCTGGGGGCACCACACTCAGAAACTTGCTCAGTGACACGTTGAAAGAGAGGAACCTAGCAAACCCTGGCGCTGCTGTTCCCAGGCAGTGGTTAAGAAAGTCAGAGCTATGGCAGGCAGGCCGGCCCCCTCCCCCTGAGAGAGCCGGGGGCGGGAAGGGGAGCTCAGGGCTGGGAGAGGGACAGCACCACGGGAGGGGAAGCCGAGCTGCCGGGTCCCCTGGTGTTTGTGTCCACATTGACATCGTGCAGGGGAAACAAAATGTGTGTGACGCTCAGATTGTTCCCTAACATCTCAGTCACCTTGGGACAAAGCAGTGCTTTGAAAACAAGTATCCTGGCAGGATTGACCACTCTCTCGTTAGCCGTCCAGGTGCCCCCTGCCCCGGAACTGTGCTCAGGGCTGCGAGGCCTGGTTGAGGGGGAGCAGGGGGGAGGTTGGAGGGGTTCGAGCAAAGGGGTGAGGTGGCTCCTCGGTCTCAGTGCTGAAGTCGTGCTCTGTCTCCTCCCAGAATCTGACCTACGAGATCATCCTGACACTGGGCCAGGCGTTCGAGGTGGCCTATCAGCTGGCCCTGCAGGCCCAGAAGTCCCGCTCCCTGGGGCCTTCCACTGCTGAGATGATTGAAACAAAATCTTCCAAACCGGTGCCTAAGCCTCGGGTCGGCACGAGGAAGTCAGCAGTACGTGGGCCCCAGGCGCCCAGACCCCCTCCTACCCCCCGGGCTTCGAGGGCTTGGGGTGGAGCGGGCACCGGGAGGGAACCGGCTGTCAGTGCCTTTCCTGTGCCCCGCGGGCTTCAGTCCCCTCCGTCGCCGGGCGCCCCCGGGCCCCGGCCTGCAGTGAGCTCCCGGTAACGCCACCCCATGTCTGTGTCTGCTTTGCTCTGCACCCCAGGTGCCGCCGCCCCCCGATAGTCGCTGTTGTCACTGTCACACCTGCACCACCCATCGTCCTTCTTACCTACCGCTGCCGTCTGTTAGTCCTGGAGTCAAGGTCTTTACACCTCCTGCTGTCTGTGTGTCAGTCTTCCTGAAGTGACCGTGAGCCTTCTGAGACGCTAGTAGCCTCCCCCACCCCACGTGACATTCTTTCCTGAGCCACCCTCCTGCCATCCCTATCTGTGCTTTAGCTGTTTCTCTGTGTGTCCTCTCTGCAGAGGCCCAGGGTGCCCGCTGTGGTCTGGCCCGGGGCGCGCCCGCAGGCCCCGCCCAAGGGACCCAGAGGCTTGGGTTTCCCAGCCCCGTACCCCCTTCCTGGCGCCGTGAACAGGTTTGGGGCTCAGAGCACGATGCTCAGGCCGGTCAAGGCTCCTTTACCTGAGCAGCTCTGAGAAGCCCCTGGGATAAGTCAACCCTAAAGAGGCCCGGAGGTGGCGTTCCTATGATGCTCTGGGGAGGGTGCCACTCTTGCATCTCAGCCCTAGGGGGCTTGCTCTCTGAGGAGAACCAGGGCCGCCCCTCATGTCCCTCACGTTGGCACGACACCAGCACAGCCCTGCGCAGGAAGAAGGGACAGCTGGGCCCTGTTGCCCCCTGGCCAGGCACGGTGCTCCCTCTCTGACCCCTCACCCTTCTTCCTTGGCAGCTGGAACCACCCGATACGGACCCAGATGCCCAGTCCCATGCCAGCGTCTCCTGGGTTGTGGACCCTAAACCGGACTCTAAGCGGAGCCTCAGCACCAAGTATGAGACCACTATCTTCTAACCGCTCACTCCCTGTCTCCACTAGTCTCACTGTGCCTTGCCATCCGACCTCTGCTCTTCTCAGCTCTCCTTCCGGCTGCTGACGCCAAGGCCCCAGCCCCAGGGGGCCCTGCTCTCCCTGCCGGCAGCTGCTCTAGACACCACACTCACAGCTCGTACCCAACACCGCCGGACACTCTGAATTCCCCCCTTGGGCGAGGACAGCCTGGCGGGGGTGGGGGTGTGAGTTGTCTTCCAGGTGGTCACCAGGAGGGCTCAGCGGGCAGGCACTGTGAACCCTGGGGCGGGGGGCAGCCCTCGAGCAGAGCCAGACAGCACCCGTGACCGCTCCCTCTGACTAGGCTGGGCTCTTGGTCTGCTCTCCTCCCCCGGCTTCTGCGCTGAGCCGCAGCTGGGTGCCGCTGCCAAGAGTGAACTGTCTTTTTGCACCTTTCCTGATACAACCAACCACTGTGACCACCCGGTGCCAGAATCCCCTTGCTCTCCGCTCATGGCTGGCCTGCGGCCCCAATCCTCTGTCCTCTGCCGTCGGGTGCTGGCCTCCCTCCTGCGAGAGCCCGAGCTGGGCGGCGAGGCTCACCTAGGCTCACACTGCATTCTGTGAGGGCCCGAGGTCCTCAGGCACGTGCCTGACTCCACAGCCTGGAGCTCTGAGCATCTCAACAGCCTCAGGCTGGCTTCCCTGAGCAGGTCTCTGGGTCCCGCTGAGGCTTCCACTCCGAGGAACGGGATGGCTGGTGTGCGGTCGGCCACCCCTGTCTTCGCCAGGGCGTAACGAGGCTGTTTCTGGAGTCTAGCTCACCGAGGAGGAAGGCCTTTCTGTAGCAGCCAGCGCGAGGGAGGCCTGTGCCCTGCGTGCACACGGCCCCTTCTTCCCTCACAGCATGGAGCTACTCCAGGACAGGAACCCGGACCGAGCAGCTCCCACCTTGTCCTCCGGGGGGCTTTCCGACACTGCTCCACGGTGTGAGGGCCGGAGATAGTCAGCCCCCCTCCACCTCTTGAGTCCCCTGAGGGGGACAGTCCGCCAGCTGGGATCATGGAGCTGAGGCTCTGAAGAAGCCCCCCAGTGTCTGGGGAGGGCCGAGGAGCTCAGATGGCAGGAGACAGGCAAGCGGCAGCTCCATGTAGGCCCGTAGGGAAGCCAGGTGCTCCAGCAGTTCCTGGAGAGGCGCAGCCCAAGGTGGTAGCGTGGGGTGGGTGCTCCTGCCCGCCGGCCTGGCCTCGTGCCTTCAAGAGCAGCCATGCTGAGCCCCAGGTGCTGGGGGAGGCTGTGAGGGATGTTCCTTGGCTTCCATGCTTCCTTTCAGTTCCCTCCACCCCGTGAAGGCCCCTGTGGTTAACCCTTTCCTCCCCCCATTGTGTTTGCTTCTGCCAAGCTGAGCCACTGAGGAACCAACTGTGCTGCGGAACCACAGACGTGGGGAGCACAGGCTCTCGCCGCCACCACCGCCGCCGCCACCACTGTGTCTCCTGCAGCTTTGAAGACCCAGGCCCAGCCTCTGCCAGGAGCAGCTCCTTGGGGCTGCCTGGCCTGGACCTGCCACCACCAGGTCTTAAAGAGCAAGCCACACGCCAGGCCTTGAGCGGAGGAAACTGGAAACTCCGGAGAGTCAAGAAGTGACTTGTCCAGAAGACATTTTTTATTAGAAAAAAAAAATTTTCTATAAAATGAATTTTTAAGACTTGGCTCAAACCTCTAGGTTAAACTGCCAATCTTTAGACAGATGGCCTCGGGATCGGAGGACAGGTGGCCCGAGAGTGGCTCCGAGGCCGGTCTGCACAGCCTTCGTCCCTGGCACGGGCTGCTGGCGCGGTCTGGTAGGTTGCAGAGGAGGCAGCGGCCTGTGAGGAAAGAGAAAGCAGGCCCAGGTGGGCAGATGGGAGTGGGGCTGCTCGAGTCTGCTTTCAGACCCAGCCAAGTCGCTTGCTGCTGTTCCTTACGAACTGCACAACTTCTGTCCCCATTTGGAGCCGGATGCCACCTCTGCAATAAGAACAGCCTCAGAGGCACCTGGCAAAAGCAGAGACCCCCGGGCCATTCCCGGGGTTCCAAATGTGAAGGCGCGCGGGCCAGACGGGGCTGAGGGAGCTGTTCCTGGTGCCGCGCAGTCTGGGCCCCTCCTTGGCGCCCAAGCCGGGTGGTCAGGGCGCCGGCCCACACACGCGTGGGCGGCCTCAGACCTGCCTGTGTTCGGTCAGAAAGGAGAAAAAGCAGCTTTGTTTTGGGCATTAACGGATAGGTCAGCTAAGACGGCTACCTGCCGACTTGTGATTTGTCTAATCAGGTCTGTGTGATTAGGACTCGCTTTGATTCTCTGAATTACTAGTTTGACTGTTTTATTTTTGGCTGCTGGATTCATCCCGGGCTCCAAGTGTAGAGAAGGCTAAGTAAGGTGACCGTGGATTCGGTTCTCCCCCGGCGTTGCCTTCAGGGCAGGCTGGGGCCCTGGCGCACCACTGCCACTTAAGGCCTCCTACTGGCTTGCTTCACTTGTTAACTTGGACTCTTGCTCTGTGCTCCTGAGGGAGGTGGAAGCCAACGGGGTAACTGCTGTGAGGCTGAGGGGCAGAGCCGGCTCCGCTGCTGGCCCAGCCCCTTCCAGGGTAGGGAGCAGAGGAGCCCTTCCTCCGTGGCCAACTCAGCAGCAGGTCTCATGCTTTGCCGGCATGGGGCGGGCTGCTCCCAGCCCCCACATGCCAGGCTTTGGCGGGACTTCCTTCTCAGCAAAGGCTGTGAGTTGGGTGCACGGAGAGTGCTCTTGGGCACACTCACCGCCCTGTGGTGGCCAGAAAAGGGAAAGCCCGCCATCCTCCCACTGCCTTGAGGCTGGACCTCCTCTCTGGAGCAGGGCCAGGGAACCCCCACCTCCCGGTACTAAACCAGGACCTCAACGCCTGAAGTCTGGCTTCACTTCCTGCTTCTCCCAAAGCCCGGGAGCCTCCCACCAGCTCACACCACACATGTTTTGCCCCTGCCGACCCACGAGAATCGACCAGGGAACCAGAGGGGTCAGCACCCTTCCTTCCCCTAACAAGGGGGGCCTGGCCTCAGCTAAGCGCGCCTCTCCTCTCAGGGGGTCGGCAGGTCCAAAAAGCAAACTGTAGACACTACGATGAGCTGCTCGAGCTGCCTTTTTGTTTTTAAATCACATGTAGGTGTTTCCTCCCCTTGAAGCTGCTATATCTTTATTTATTCAGGGTGTTGTCATATTGGAAAGCCTTGGCTAGTCTGTGCTGGCTCTGGGTTTGCTTTGGAGATTGGTTTATTTCTGGATAGCCGAGAAGGGTAGGGACTGGATCTTTTTTTCTTTCCTTTTTACTTCTCCCCGGGGCAGGTACTCTCTCTCCCTTCGAAAAGGGTGGTGTGATTTCAAGGACAGGCTTTGAGCAGAAAAGCCGCCTGGTCCCACACCCGAGTTTGGAGGCAGGGTCTGAGCCGTGCAGGGCCCCTCTGGGCAGCCTTGTGAGGGAGTCGTACCTGCCCCAGACCCGGCTTCTCTGCTTGCCTCCCTTCTGCTTGCCAGCCACTCCAAGCCGTAGGAACCCTACTGCCAGGCTGCATGTCTGCCAGGCTCCGCCGCCCTCCTGGGTCTCTAGCCTCAGATTCTGACGGGAGTTCCTCCAGAAGCCTCTGGCTGAGCAGGCCGCAGACGTGGTGGCTGCTGCACCGACAGGAGAAAGCTGGTCCGCCCTCAGTCGGCCTTCGGGAGGCCAGATCTGCGAGATGACGGTTGGAAGCAGCTCGTGGAAGTGGTGTTGCTAACGGGGTGGCAATGGGACTGAATTGTAATAAAAATGTTATTTAATCTTTGTCTCTGTATTTTGATACTTGAATGAATTCCCCTTTTATTTTACTGTACATAGAACTGTTAATCTGTCTGATTCTGTCCGAATTACAAACATCTTGTGGTACCAAACATAACGAATCTGTGTGGCAACATAGACTGACCTCACTACGCAAGACAGAGCGTCAACATTCCTGGGCTTCCACCTTCGGTTCGGTTATTTTCATAACTGTACAACGTAGAACAGACTGAATTAATAAAGGAGAAGCAACATGAAACCAGCCTTACTTTTTGGGAATTTTTGAACTGGAAAGCTTCTTGATGGTTCTCTGGCAGAAGTGCGGGCCCAGGCTGTAGGCTGGCTGCGGGTTGCTGACAAGGGACCCGCACTATTTGGGATGAGTGTGGGGGTGCCACTGGCACGCTTCCAGCGGGAGGCTGTCCCTGACGGTCCGTTCGTTCATCCTGTTTAGTTGCGAGGCCCCCGCGATTCCCCTTCCCCTGCTTAGAATGTCTCCTCCAATCCCAAGCAGAGACCACATTCTAGTTAGAGCCACGGCTCCTCTGCACACTGGCCTGGGCTTGTTGACCCACAAACGTACATGGAATGTCTGCATACAAGGCTGTGCGGCAGGATGGAGAGCTGTGGAAGAAAAGTATCCCCCTCAGGGAACTTCATTCGATTATGGAGGTTTCGTCTGAGCCGTGCACAGCTAGCCACTGACCCAAAGCCACACTGAGGCCATACCAGCAGGGCCTCTGCGCATCCAAAGGCACGGGGTGTTCCCAGAGCTGACAGGCTAGGGAAGGGGAGGGGATGGTGTTGGGCTGGTATTTAGAGGAGAGGGTTTGGAAAGACACGAATGGTACCACTAACGCCGTCCCTGACAGCACCTGTGCTCCAATGCCTGCTAGCAGCTTTCCAGGCACCCACTGTGTTATCTCTGACAGCTTTCTGGGTGTGATCTCTCTAGAGGAAGCAACCAAGGCTCAGAAAGTTTACCACACCTTCTCAGGGCCAGCTGGACGACCTGAAAAACCATCCCATCTGGTGGCTTCAAGCCATCTTAGAGGCCCTGGTCCCATGCTTGCCTCCACCCAAGCTGCCTAGTGCGGAACACATAAAAACTTTCTAGAGAAAGAGGGGAGCGCCTGGGTGGCTCAGTTGTTAGGCCTCTGCCTTCGGCTCAGGTCATGATCCCAGGGTCCTAGGATCGAGTCCCACATCCAGCTCTCTGCCCAGCAGGGAGTCTGCATCTCCCTCTTTCACTCCCCCTGCCTGTGTTCTCTCCTTGCTGTGTCTCTGTCAAATAAATAAAATCTTAAAAAAAAATTAAGAAAAAGAGAGTATGAAGGGGAGGGGCAGAGAGAGAGAGGGAGAGAGAATCTCAAGCAGATTCCATGCTGAGCACAGAGCCAGACGCAGGGCTCGGGGCCCTATCCCATGACCCTGAGATCATGACCTGAACCAAGATCAAAGGTAGAACGCTTAACCGACAGAGCCACCCAGGTGCCCCAGCACCAAACACTTACATAAGTGAGTTTCTGTGAAATAATTCCGTTTGTCAAGGGTTTTAAAAATGAAAATCACTGAGGCGCCTGGGTGGCTCAGTCTGTTAAGCATCTGCCTTCGGCTGGGTGCATGGGGTCCTGGGATCAAGCCCCATGTGGGGCTCCTTGCTCAGCCAGGAGCCTGCTTCTCCCTCAGCCTCTGTCTCCTGCTCCCCCTGTGTTCTCTCACTCTGTCAAATAAATAAAATCTTAAAAAAAAAAATCACTGGTTTAATCCAATACCCAACCATATTTATGAAGAAAACAAGGCTAGAGTGGGGAAAGGTTTTTCCTAGCCAGCCAGCTAATAGACCAAATCCCAGCTTCTTACTCCAGTTCACGGCCATTGAGTAAAGAGAGTGAGGCCCAGTCGTGGAGGGCCTCACTTTCAGACTAGGGTTCACCATTCTCACACTGCTGTGCTCTCTGGCCTTGGCACTCTCTTCCAGGCAGAAGAAACCTTACAGCCAGGGAAAAAGGTATGGCCATGATTAGTGTCACTATTGCTCTGGAACAGGGTACTGGGACACATGCCACTGTCAGGGTCCCTTTTGGCATCACTCCAAAGCCTTAGCAACACAGCTCAGGCTGCCCAGCCCCAGTGCTGCAGTGCTGATGGGGCCTTGGGGCCTGCCGGGGGCAGGGGGAGGGTGGTTGCAGAGGGACCTGGGGGAGGAACAGACTGAGTCCTGCGGGACACCGGGGCCCGCCATCCGGGCCACCGGCAGTGCCGCACCTGGCCCAACGGGAATAGCCACCTTGGCAGGAGGTGTGGGTTGGGGCAGCTTCAGAAAAGGAACGGATGGGGCGCACTCAGCGGGAGTGCATCCGCCCAGCCTGGCCCGCCTTGCCTTCCCGTTCCCCGGGACTCTGTCTAGAACATGCTCTACACCGTCTCCTCAGGACCTGGAGACGGAGCCAGCCGGAGTGCAGTGCAGCTTTCTGCTCTCATCTCAGCTTGGAGGGTAAGATAGGCCCTCACAAGCCACTCCATGCACTCCCCTCTCCCCCATGACACCCCCATGTCCTCAGCGGCTCCCCCCACAGACACCGCAGTCCAGGAGGCCAGGGGGCTGGCACGTTCCTCCTGTAGGCTGAGGTGGCTCACCCGGGTGGCCGTGAGCAGGGGACTGAGGAAGCGGAGTGCAAACTGGACTGTGCAAACTGGAGCACTGTCCAGGCTGGCTCCAAACACCATCTTAGCCCTGGCCACCTCTGGCTTTCTTCACCTACAGGGTGTGCAGGTCCCACCAGACCCCAGCACACAGGGCAGGCAGGCCCTTCCAGATGTCCGAGGTCCACGCTGTGTTGGCTCACACATAACACCCAGGGAGGGCGGAGGTGTCAACTAGCCCCCACTCGGGGCAGCACCTACAGCTCTGTGACTCCGTCGCTCAGGACTCCGCTATTAGGACAATTACTTTAAACAAGCCTTCGTCAAATGAAAGAATTTCCCTAACACCACAGAGTACATGTTATCCGGTAAATGGGCCTGGGACAAAGGCGTAGCCACAGAGGTTCGGGACAGTACAGGGATTCCTACGCCTCCTTACAGCAAAATAAATACCAGATGGCTCACATACCTGCATGTAGAAAATATAAAACCCCAACAAAGCTAGAAAAAAATGGGGAGATTTTTTTTTCATAATCTTGGTATGAGAAAGCTCTTTCCAAGCATGCTAAAAACTCTGAATCCATTTTTAAAAAGATTAATATATCCAACTATATAAAAATCAAACATTTCCACAAAGCCAAATGAGCCATTTTAAAAAAGAGCCTGGGTGTTCAGTCATTAAGCATCTGCCTTCAGCTCGGGTCGTGATCCCAGGGTCCTGGGATGGAGCCCCTGCATCAGGCTCCCTGCTCAGTGGGAAGCCTGCTTCTCCTTCTTCCTTTTCCTCTGCCCCTCCCCCCTGCTTGTAATTCTCTCTCTCTCAAATAAATAAAATTTTAAAAAAAAAAAAAAAAGTAAACGGGATCTTGCTTCCAGGAAGATCAAGTAGACATACTTTCCCCTATTCTTCTTGCTAAGTGCAAATAAGCCGAGACACCGATAGCGCAGACAAAGCCCAACAGCAGTCTGCTCTCGCTCTAGCCAAAGGGCCAGAAAAGAGGCAGCCTGGCAGGACAGAGCTGTGAAGACACTAACTGCTTTACCCCATCCATACACAACCACAAAACAGTTGTGTGCCACCGACCTAAGGCCAGCAAAGGCCTCACCTTCCACACTCACCAGGCTAACACTCTGGCCCACACGTCCACTGGAGCACTATCAGAGGAGGCCTCGTAGAAATTCACTCTCGGGGTGCCTGGGTGGCTCAGTCGATCAAGTGGCTGCCTTCGGCTCGGGTCATGATCCCAGGGTCCTGAGATCAAGCCCCGCATTGGGCTCCCTGCTCATTGGGGAGCCTGCTTCTCCCTCTCCCTCTGCCTACTTGTGCTTTCTCTCTGTCAAATAAATAAATAAAAATATAAAAAAGAAAAGAAACTCACTCTAGCCCAGCAGTAAGGAGGCATGCCTGAAAAATGCAATAACCCAAACAGAAATCTCAGTGGATGGACTCAGCAGTGGAATGGACAGGAGAGAGACAGCATCCACCCACTGGAAGACAGAACAATGGAGACGGTCAATCTGGACAGAAAGGGAAAAAAGACTGGAAAGAAAATGAATAGAGTCTTGGGGACCCAGAACTCTAACATAAGATCAAACATTGTGTCAGCAGCGTCCCTGAAGGGGAAGGTAAGAGGGCTGAAAAAGTACCCAAGGAAATAATGCCTGAAAACTTCCCACATTTGGGGACGCCTGGGTGGCTCAGTTGGTTAAGCGGCTGCCTTCGGCTCAGGTCATGATCCCGGCGTACTGGGATCGAGTCCCATATCGGGCTCCTTGCTCGGCGGGGAGCCTGCTTCTCCCTCTGCCTGCCTCTCTGTCTGCCTGTGCTCGTTCGCTCTCTCTCCCTCTGTCCCTGACAAATAAATAAATAAAATCTTTAAAAACAAAACAAAACAAAACAAAACTTCCCACATTTGGCAAGAGACATCAACCTAAACATTTGAGAAGCTGAGCGCACCCCAAACCAGGTAAACCACAAGAAATCCATCACACATCATATCCAAGGTACCTCACAGTTACATTTCTGAAAATGAAAGACAAAAACTTTCTGAGCCCAGCAAGAGGAGACCCTTACCTTGTCTACAGGGGACAAGTAATGTGAACGATGGTGGATCTCTCAGCAGAGCTGTGGAGGCCAGAAGTAGCAGCATATTTCTCAGGAGCTGAAAGAAAACAAGCCTGCAAAAATATCCTTCGAGAATGAAGAGAATCAGGACAGCCTCAGATGGAGGACAATAAGGGACTTACCTGCCAGCAGACCTAACTTAAAAGAATGATTAAAAAAAAAAAAAAAATGGGGGCACCTGGATGGCTCAGTTGGTTAAGCGACTGCCTTTGGCTCAGGTCATGATCCTGGATTCCTGGGATCGAGTCCTGCATTGGACTCCCTGCTCGGCAGGGAGTCTGCTTCTCCTGCTGACCTTTCTCCTCTCATGCTTGCTCTCTCTCTCTCTCTCAAATAAATAAATAAAATCATTTAAAAAAAGGCAACAGAAAGGGAATTATATAAAAAGGAGTTTTGGAATATCAGAAAGTATGAACAAACATTAAACAAAAATACGGGTAAACCCAATAGACTCTCCTTCTCTTCAGCTTTCTAATGTGTTTCATAGTTGA